TTTTTCAAATAATCTCTATACCCAAAACGGGGCCTAAACTCACCACCCGGAGACAAAGAGTCGCATGCTCCACTGACCAAGCCAGCCAGGCACACCTGGAGCCAGGAAGTATTTAAAATATTAAATAGAATAGACTTGAGCCAATGGAGAAGACAATGGGAAGGATCCAGTGGAGATGGAAATCTTTTTTTTTTTTTTAAGTTATTTATTTATTCATGAGAGACAGAGAGAGAGAGAGAGGCAGAGACACGGGCAGAGGGAGAAGCAGGCGCCATGCAGGGAAGCCCAATGTGGGACTCGATCCCAGGTCTCCAGGATTATGCCCTGGGTTGAAGGCGGCACTAAACCGCTGAGCTACCTGGACTGCCCTGGAGATGGAAATCTTGAATATAAAAGAGAAAATGTTGAGTTCCTGAGAAGGCGGGATGAGAGGGGACCTGAAGAAATAAAACATCTTTCAACCTAAAATTTTGATTTGGCTTTTGTTAAAATTTAAAAGTTCAGAAGATTATCTTAATAACATTTTCTTAAAATAACTTTTACTGGGGCACCTGGCTGGCTCTGTCAGTAAGCATAGAACTCTTGATCTTGAGGTGGTGAGTTCGAGCCCTACATTGTGGGTAGATATTACATAAAAAAATAACTTTTAACTTTAATTACCACTGAAATGCAAGTGACTCATAAGATTAAGGTATGCGATTTAAAACACTGAGAAGAAAGAACCTTCATGACCTACGTATGTTAAGAATTCAAAGCACTATGCTGGTGTTACTCCTCTTAGTAAGCTTAGGAAGAAAGGTGAGAGAGTATTTACATTCCAGTGACCTTGTGATTGCACAAGGAACAAGAACACTGTTAGGAGCCAGGTGGGGCAAAGGTCTTACTAAAGTATACATCGCTGCAGGCTCTGTTTCTTAATATCATAGATTATATACTTTCTCTCTTTATAGTGCAAGAAACTTCCCAAGACACTCAATTTTATTTCTTTAATTTTTAAATTTTTAATGATAAATGCTTTTATTTCATTTATTGAAAGACAACTTGTACGTGTTACATCATATATAATTTTGTCTGAAACTTAAATAATAGGGGTACCTGGGTGTCTCGGTTAAGTGTCTGCCTTCAGCTCAGGTCATAATCCTGGGGTCCTGGGATTGAGCCCCACATCAGGCTCCCTGTTTAGTAGGGAGCCTGCTTCTCCCTCTCCCTCTGCTGCTCCCCCTACTTGTGCTTTCTCTCTCTCTCTATGTCAAATAAATACATAAATCTTTAAAAAAACTTTAATAACAAATTTCTCTCTAAGTGTTGCTTAGGTTGCACAGAAACTCTGAAGACTACATTTCTAGAAAATAAGTTCTAAGTAATATTATTTACAAAATAATTGTCAAGAAATTTTGAGAACGATAATGTTATAAAGGTTACAATGTTATACCTAAAAAATGGTAAAGCAGTTTCAGGGGCCTAGTTTAATTTTTTAAGTTGTGTTTTTTTAAAAAAATTATATATGTATTATTTATTTATTGAAATATAGCTGACATACAATGTTTCAGGTGTACAATATAGTGATTTGACAAGTTTATACGTTATGCTATACTCACAAGCATTACTACCATCTGTCACCATACAGGCTTTACAGCACCTTTGACTACATTCCCTATGCTGTATCTTTCATCCTGGTAACTTACTCATTCCATAACTGTATCTCCCATTTCCTTTTACCCATTTTGTTCATCCTCCTACCCCAAGCCCCTTTGGCAACCATTAGTTTGTTCTCTGTATTTATGTGTCTGTTTCTGCTTTTTGTTTATTAATTTTGTTGGGTTTTTTAGATTCCACCTATAAGCAGAATCATGTTATTTGTTTTTCTCTGGCTTAGTTCACTTGACACAAAATTCCCTAGGTCCATCTCTATTGTCACAAGTGGCAAGCTCTCATCTTTTCTGATGGCTGAGTAATATTCCATTGTGTGTATATGCCACATCTTCCTTACTAATTCACCTATCACTTGACACTTGAGTACCAAAACACTTAGTTTTAACTAAGCACTGTGTATTCCACAGATGAGAATTATTTTTTGTTAAGGATCTTCTCTCTAGCAAAGTCCTTTGCCCAAGCCCTTATACCCTGACTTGAAGTCTTCTTCCTTCCATCTCTTCACCAAAACCTTACTTAACTTTAATGAGGAAGCCTGCCTCTCCAAGAAAAGGTAACTGCTCACACAAGCCTGTACTGAGTTATCTCATCTCTGAATATCTTATTTTATATGCTGTATTTTACATTTTAATCACCCTTATTTTCACAGATTCATTTATTTTCTTCCCTTTGTTATCGTAGGTTCTTCTAATAGAAGAATGGTGTCTTTTAGGTATTTGCTCAGTCAAAACATGGGACAGGTCGTATGTGATAGGTTAGGACAAGTAACTAGAAACTACTTGAAATTATAATTGCTCCAGAAATATGATGGGATCCTGAGGGATTTACTTTCCAATAGTTTATTGAACAGGTCTACAATCCCTTATTCACTATTTTGAAATCCAAAAAACTTTGAAAATAAAATGTTTTCTTAACATTTGGTGGCAAAACCTATCTTGACCTGGACTCATTTGACAGTAAAACTTGACCTGAACTGATGATAGCAAAGTGGCAAAACCTATCTGAAAAACCTGATTTGAACTAAAGTAATATGTATGCTTTGTTTATCCCACTTAGTAGTGTGATAATCATTATTTTTCTTAAAAAATGTTAAGTTGATTATGAAGTGCTGCTATAAGCCTCATGGGATGTCAAGTAATGTAAAGTAAGTACCCTTTTCTAAAGTCTAAAAAATTCTTAATCCTGAAATTCATCTGGCCTAAAGGATTTATGTGTGGATCTACATTCTTTATGACTCTAAGACACTGCTATACATACAATAGACAAAATAATAAAAAAAAATCAGGGGCACTTGGGTGGTTCAGTCAGTTAAGTGGCTACCTTTATCTCAGATCATGATCTCAGAGTCCTAGGAGCAAGCCTTGCATCAGGCTCCTTGCTTAGCAAGGAGTCTGCTTCTCCTTCTCCCTCTCCTTCTGTGCTCTCTTCTTTTCCCTCAAATAAAATCTAAAAAAAAAAAAAAAATCAAATACTGAAAGGACATATATTTTGTGAGAAACATCGTCTGAAAATTCAAGGGATCATTGCAAAATGGATTAAAGCAAGTTAAAGTTTCTAAACAAATACCTTCTTGGGGGAAAATAAGGTCTGAAAATTCAAAATATCATAAAAAAATAACAAAATAAAGTAAAAATACCTGCACAAAAAGTGTTTTGCAATTATGGCTTTATTAAGCATATAGTTTTTCTGATTTCATTAAAAATAAAAAATTTCATTAAATCATTCTGATTTGTTACATGTGAATAAATAATGTGGTTAAAACATACAGAGTGATACCTCTGAAAAATTGTGCTTTTAAAGTTCACTACTACATTCACATTTTTAAAAAAGATTTTATTTATTTATTAATTAGAGACAGAGGCAGAGACACAGGCAGAGGGAGAAGCAGGCTCCATGCAGGGAGCCTGACATGGGACTCGATCCTGGGTCTCCAGGACCAGGCCCTGGGCTGAAGGTGGCACTAAACTGCTGAGCCACCAGGGTTGCCCTACATTCACATTTCTAAAGGAACACAGATATTTCTGCTACTGGAAGACTTGCTATTAGTAAACACTAGTGATTACTGATATTATCATACCATTTTCATCAACTGTCAAATATGGAGGTTGGTACTAAATGACCCATAAAGTTCTTCCGAAATTCTATCAAGTATGCTATACAGAACAGAACCAAGTTCAAAAGGATTTCAATATATAGGAAACAAATGAGCAAACACTGAGAACCTATATTACCAAAGGGATTGTAGTCTTAACTATGTGGAAGTGAAAATGAAAGAGTGAGAAGATTTTGTATGTTCTGTACTGAGCACGTTTAATGTGGTCTAATTGCCTTTCCTCTACTGGAGATATTGAAGATTTTTATCAGGGTCTTGATAAACATAGGAATGTGATGCTTTAGAACAGAATACACTTACTTCCGTGGAGTTAGGATGCAAACTGAATGCCTACTCTAGGAAGGCAAGACCCGTCACAGCCCAAAGTGATCTCGGAAAACATAACTGGACAGAGACTACAGGACAAAATTCACACACACGAGAGAACACAGATAATAAAAGCAGGTGACAACTCGTAGAAGTTGGCACTTTCCGGCAGAAAGAGACCACCGCGGGAGCAAGAGGAAATGGAATCATAGAGCTTTGGAACCCAGACGCTCCTGGAACCCAGGTCTTCCAGGGACCAAAATCTCACAGCCCTAACCACGAGGTCGCTTCTTTACTTCTTTTCTGATCTATAAAATAAGTGGCTTCTCTTAGATTTTTCAGATCCAGGTAATGACATGGTAATAGTTCCCATGCCTCTAGACTGCCCTTTCTACCTAACTGGTAAGGTACCTAACTTTTCGGTTCAAGTAAAAAAAAAATTTTATCTATTATTTATTTATTTATTTATTATTTATTTATTTATTTAATTATTTATTTATTTATTTATTTATGATAGCCATCACAGAGAGAGAGAGAGAGGCAGAGACACAGGAGGAGGGAGAAGCAGGCTCCATGTAGGGAGCCCGATGTGGGACTCGATCCCGAGACTCCAGGATCGCGCCCTGGCTGAAGGCAGGTGCTAAACCGCTGAGCCACCCAGGGATCCCTCGGTTCAAGTAAAAATAAAAAAAAAAAGAAAAATGCAAACCCAAATGGACCCTGTTTGACTAGGTTTGGGAATCATTACTGCGAGGCCCCAAGAAGAGGTCAAAGGCAGGCCTGGGCTTGCTTGGCTCTGTCCGCGGGACCCAGGAACGGTGGCAGAGGCGGAGGCGGTGTTTCATTGGATGGCCCCGCCCCCTCCGCGCGGTGGCTGTGGCGGCGGCGGCGCGGAAGGGGAGGTCCCTCAGCCGGAAGTGACGCCACGCCGGCTTCTTGGCCCTGAGGGGAGGTGGGGCTGGTCGGTGGAGGGAGGTTGTGGTGGCGGAAGAGGTTCAGCGGCTGATGGCGGCACGGGCTCGGAAGCTTCTGTAACGCTCCCTCCGTCCCGGAGCCCCTCGCAAGGTAAGCGGCTTCTCCGGCCGGCTCCAGCGCCTTTAGCGGGGCGGCCCCCAGCTGGAGCTCTTTGGGGGGGCTCGTGATACGCTCCTCAGCCCTTAGAGTCTAGGGGCCTGGCCAGTCTCGGGAGTGCTCTCCTGGTGACGATGCAGCCAGATGACGATGCTTTCCTTTCCGAGGACAAACTTTTGCTCCTGGACTACGATTGTGACGGTGGGGTGTGTGTGTGTGGCAACTTCTGTTAACAGCGGGTCTGGGAAAAACGACGGGTGGCCGCCCCACACGGCCGGGAGGCCCCGGGATAGGCCTTCGCCGTTTGGGGGGAGCCGTGGGGGACGTGGGGGCGCTAGGGCAGGGGGCGAGTGACGCGGGGGACCCCCTGAGGAGGAACGTGTGTTGCCCGAGGCCCCGTTCTAGGGTGCGTTTTGAGGGCAGTTTGTGTGTGGGCTGCCGGGGTGGGCTAGCGTGGGAAAGCAGGTCAAGTCCGAGTTGGCCCGGGTGGGGTGAAACCCCGGTGTTTTGGTTTGTGTCGCTGGCGGAGCGAGGGGCGGAGACTCGGCTGGGCCGGCGGCGTTTGATGGGCCGCGGGGGTGGGGGGGGCGGGGTTAGCTGTGGTGGCCCGACCGCGAACTTTACCTGGGCGGCGGGTCTGGTAAACGTTTCTCTCGGTCTGTTTATGGACGGCTCCTGTGCTCAGTGTTCCGAGGAATCTTAAAGTCCTCTGAGGAGAGTCACGTCTTCCTTTGCTTAAGCAACTTTTCTTGATTTCACAACAACTCTCCCTCCCCCCCCCCCCCCCGCCCGCCCGGCGCCCTGCGAGTCCGCGGGCTGTGGGCTAGTCCGAACCTACGCTCTTGGCCTGGGGCGGTCTTTGAGGTGGGTGGGGGTGGGGTCGTGTGTGACTGTCGGTACGCGTGTTATTAACCCTTTCTGTGATAGTTCTGTTTGAAAAACACGACGGCATTCGGCTTTCTACGTGTGTTGGGTCTTAGGCTCCACCGTTTAGTCACGCATTGCTGTTACGCTGTAATATAAGGATTTAGATGGGAAGGTTTGCTTATTTGTTTATTTAATTAATTTATTTTCATTTATCTATTTGAGAGAGCGAGCGAGCGAGCGCAGGAGCCAAGGGAGAGGGAGAAGCGGACTCCTCGCTGAGCAGGGAGCCCGACCTAAGGCTGGATTCCAGGACTCTGGGATCATGACCCCGAGCTGAGGCAGACGCTTAACGGACTGAGCCATTTAGGCACCCCCGAAAAGTTTACTTTTTTTTTTTTTTCAACTCTGCTTTATCCTCAGCGTAAGATTTCTACAGCCTGAGCACGGATGGAGCACTAACTATAGTTTTGGTGCTCAGTTCCAAAGCATTTGAAAAGATTATTTGAGTAACCTGTTAATAGGAAAGTGGGCTGACTGCCCCTCAAAGTGCAGTTCAGGTATAGATAAGGGTCTGAGGCTAGGCCTTTTGTTTCGTTCTCGACTTAGAATAGGCTTGATTTCTGGAAGAATTACTTGATTACGTTTGAAATGGCTTATTACATCTTTAATTTTAATTTTTTTTTTTTTTGCTGCTGCTTCAAAGGACATCCTATCATAGTTTTTCTCATCATCACATTTTTTAAAAAAGTGTTTTTTATTTTTATTTTTTAAGATTTTATTTATTTATTCATGAGAGACACAGAGAGAGGCAGAGACACAGGCAGAGGGAGAAGCAGACTCCGTGCAGGGAGCCCGATGTGGGACTCAATTCTAGGACTCCAGGATCACCCCATGGCCAAAGGCAGACGCTCAGTTGCTGAGCCACCCAGGCGTCCCTCATCATCACATTAAGTTGCATACCATTTATGGCTTAAGCCTTTTTTTTTTTTTTTATGACAGTCACAGAGAGAGAGAGAGAGAGAGAGAGAGAGAGAGAGAGGCAGAGACACAGGCAGAGGGAGAAGCAGGCTCCATGCACCGGGAGCCTGATGTGGGATTCGATCCCGGGTCTACAGGATCGCGCCCCGGGCCAAAGACAGGCACCAAACCACTGCGCCACCCAGGGATCCCTGCGCCACCCAGGGATCCCAGGCTTCAGCCTTTTGATGTTAACTATGAAACATCCTAATGATACTCGTGTACTTCTTTGGGAGAGTATTTTGGGGGATACCATGTGTGAAATTGATTGGATTTTATTCCTTTGGAATTTGGATATTACCGTAAGTAAAATTTTGGCTGTTTGCTCTGCTGGCTTTTTAAAGTTTATTATGGCCCAAATAAACCCTTACAAAAAGATAAAAACTCCCTCTTTATATGGGCCAGTATTGGGATGCCTGGGTGACTCAGCGGTTGAGTGTCTGCCTTTGGCTCAGGGCATGATCCCGGAGTCCCAGGATCGAGTCCCACGTCAAGCTTTCAGCATGGAGCCTGCTTCTCTCTCTGCCTATGTCTCTGCCTCTCTCTGTCTCTCATGAATAAATAAATAAAATCTTTAGAAAAAATATGGGCCGTTATTATACCTTTTAGAAACTACTTTTTTAAAACATTCTATTGAGGAAATAAGAGTAGTATGAATAAAACCTGGGCAGAATGAAGTGGCACTCCATTGTGAAGAATTCTGGAGATTGGGAACACCTGGGTGGCTCAGCGGTTCAGCGTCTAAATCTTAAAAAAAAAAAAAAAAAAGAAAAAGAGTTCTAGAGATACAGATGTTGGTAAGAGTGCAAATTAACAGTGTTGGGTTTGTTTCTGCCTCCCAGAAAGATTGCAGATAACATTTTTCTGCTCTAGAATGTCAAACAGTTTTTTCTTAAGATATTTGTGTGTTTGATGGGACTGAAGTTTAAACATAATTTTAAAAGTTCATGTATTTTTAACTGAAGATTTTAAAAACTTTTTGCTGTTTGCCATCCACTACATATAATGTGTTCCTATTGCAGTAGGTCTTACATGGAGTTTTTATTACTAATTTTTACTCATATACACAAAGGGAGAAAAACAGTAAAAGGAACTACCATTTTACTAATCTTGTTTTATTACCTTTCCCAGTATATTTTTTCCCTTAGAGGTTTTTTTTTTTTTTTTTTTTTAAGATTTTATTTATTCATAAGAGACACACAGAGAGAGGCAGGGACATAGGTAGAGGGAGAAGCAGGCTCCATGCAGGGAGCCATGTGCGACCTGATCCCGGAACTCTGGGATCATGCCCTGAGCCAAAGGCAGATACTCAACTGCTGAGCCACCCAGGCGTCCCCACCCCCCCCTTTTTTTTAAGATTTTATTTATTTATTCATAAAAGACACGGAGAGAGAAAGAGAGGCAGAGACACAGGCAGAGGGAGAAGCAGGCTCCACGCAGGCAGCCCGGTGTGGGACCAGATCCCGGGTCTCCAGGATCATGCCCTTTACTGAAGGCAGTGCTAAACCGCTGAGCCACCCGGGCTGCCCTCTCCTTGGAATTTTTAAAGCAAATCCTGGACATCAGGATATTTAATTTACCTTTAGTGTATTTAACTTGATAAGTACTTTGAAAAAAAAATACAATCACCAGTCCTATCACACAGAACAATTAGTATGTGTATTTTCTAGTTTAGTTGACTAAGGGCTAGTCCAGTAAATGACTATCAGAAGCCACTGGAAAAATACTACCACAAAAGCTAGATTTGTTTTGGGCTTGAAAAAGTTCCAGGAGGAAGAATTAAACATAACATTAAAGTGCTTCGACCCCTCTTTCTTTTAGCTACTTAATTAAGTGCCCGCTGGCTGCATAGTATTTATCTTTTCCTTAGATATTGATGAATCCCCCCAAATATCAAAATTGGAATTTAGATCAAAGACTTTATAAGTTTACAGTATAGCACATACTAAGGAACTCTAGACATTTTGGACCTTTGGGGAATATGGTAGAAAACATGGAAGAGGGCACTTGCAGGCATTATATATATATATGTGCATTTCAGACTTTGTTTCTCAGTTAATGTATTTGGTTCTTTAATTCTTGAGTGGATTTTTTTAAAAAAAGATTTTATTTATTTATTCATAAGAGACAGAGAGAGAGAGAGAGAGAGAGGCAGAGACACAGGCAGAGGGAGAAGCAGGCTCCATGCAGGGAGCCTGACGTGGGACTCGATCCGGGGTCTCCAGGATCATGCCCTTTACTGAAGGCAGTGCTAAACTGCTGAGCCACCCGGACTGCCCTTGAGTGGAAAATTTTTGTTTAGCCTTTGGCTTGCATATTAATATACCTGTGTTTCTGGAGATGTATGTTAAGAGAATGGGAAACAAAATTTGGTATAGTACAGCAGCTTCTACTTCCCTTTGTGTGTAAAGGGGCTATGTTTCCTCTTCAGCTAAGGTGCAGTGTCTTTTCTCAGGATGTTAGTGAAGCTACACTTCCCAAGCATTACCACAAGGTGATGCAGTGACTGCACATTACTTCCCCACTGGGCTGTGTGTGTGTGTGTGTGTGTGTGTGCACAGGAGCATGGATATTGTATAAATCTGTCTGAATCATCTTGATAAATTGACATTCTCAATAAATTTTAGCATTTTTATAAGCTTGCCCATCTTTATCTGCATAAGTATAAAACAGGAATTATATGGGAAATTTTATTTTACTATTTAAAATGGGTTGATTCATGTGGTAATTGCATTCAGATTACATTATCCCTTGTTACTTTTTATGACTAGAAGATAATATTGGAATTTAATTTTTAAAAAAGTTTTTAAAACGTGAGAATGGAATGACTTGTGAAACAATTCTATAGTTGCACTGAAATTTTTAGATTGGAGTGTTGGGGAGAGATAATAAGGTTAATAGAATGGTCACAAATTATTTTACTCTTAAGATTTATAATCATGAATATATTTAAAGTCTGATGTTAGAGTCTTCTATTAAAAACTTGAATGGGGAAGGTTTAAAATGAAATTTCATGTCAGTATGTTGATTTAAAATGAAGATGAAAAAAAAAAAAAAAGAAAAAAAAAATGAAGATGAGTTTATACATACTGATAAAAAATCAATTAAAAGTCTTCATACATAGTCCCTCATGAGTAAAGAGTATTAACTTGTATTTTAAGTCCTTTTTGATGCATTTGTTATTAACTGTTGTATTTTTTAGTCCTTTTTGATGCATTTGTAAGTGTATATACACACATACACATAAATACATAGTAGGAAGTATACCTTCCTACTTTCTACCTTTTCAGTGAAGCAAAAGTGTAAGATTGGATTATAGATTTTTAAAACAGTGTAGTTGAGGTTAAACAAAAGTTTAAACTTCACTGACTTGTTTTATAACAATTACAGCTTTGTTGATTTAGTTTACTTTAGGAAATATGTTAAGTCTTAAGGGCAGCCCCGGTGGCGTGGCGCAGCGGTTTAGCACCGCCTGCAGCCCAGGGTGTGATCCTGGAGACCTGCATGGAGCCTGCTTCTCCCTCTGCCTGTCTCTGCCTCTCTCTCTCTGTGTCTCTCATGAATAAATAAATAAAATCTTAAAAAAAAAAAAAAGGGAAATATGTTAAGTCTTAAGAAAAAGTTTCATTCTTAAATTACTTTTAACGAAAAACATTGGCAACTCAGTCTAAGCTAACCTTATTTTTTCCTTACTAAATGTTTTCCTCAGAGAATCCTAAATAATTTTCTTCCTAGAAATATATTACTGATTCATTCATTTGTCTCAGTTTTGGTAGTTGTATCTGCTAGAAGTTGGTTTCATTGATTTTTAGCTATTGTTTATCTTAACTAGTATAACCATTAGTAAACAATTTTTCAAAACTGAAAACAGTGGGTTTTTTCCTTCTTTATGAAGCCATTGACTTGAAAAGCGATTATCATTAGTGATTTTATTAGCATCATGACATCCCCCTGAGCCCAAATTAGCTCAGACAATTCAAAGAAAGTAATAAAACTCTTCATTTATTTTAGACAGTGTTCCCAGTGTTTGTATGTAAGTGCTATCTTTTTGTTTTATTGATGGCTTTGGCATAATAGTGATAGTCAAATCCATCTGTAAAATAGGGCTGCTGGTAATAAGCCAATGACAGGAGGATTGCTACTGGATGCACTCTCCTTGCGTTGGAATCCTGGCAAAGCTCAGGTTGTCGAGAGGCTGACAACTAGACTGGTACTCTACCACGGTGGCTCCCAGGCTCACCATTGATAGTCTCTTTATGAGATGTCCAATATACTGTTCCAGTAAAGCAGTACTTTAACAGAAGCAGAGAAGATACAAGAAGAAAAGTGGATATTTTCTGAAGTATTTATTTAGAAATTTTGAAAATTTGCCTTAGTATTTCAAACAAGTCAAAAGAAACGTATAAGCATGTTGTCTTCGATCTTAGCAATAAAGACTTTAATAGTTAAAATATGAATAGGAGACTAACTGCTGTGCTTGCCCTATAGAGACTTTATTGATTTATAAAGTAGATTAGATTAATTTGGTTAGCAAAAAGCTTGCCCTGGTTTTCCTGTCACATTATGGGGATTTTTATGATGATTCAGGAGCAAGTACTATAGGGACATTGTCATAGTTTCTTATATGTAGTATACAATCAATAATTGTACTGAGTCTGTGATACTGTATAGATTTTTTTTTTTACTGTATAGATTTTTTGAGTAAATAAATCCTCAGTTGTATCCTTTTTCTCAAAAGTAGAGCACAGCATATGGGAAACATTTATGTCTTGCAGATGTAGTTTTATTTCTTAAAAAGATTTTGTTTATTCATGAGGGACACAGAGAGGCAGGGACATAGGCAGAGGGAGAAGCAGGCTCCATGCAGGGAGCCTGATGTGGGACTTGACTCAGGTACTCTGGGATTACACCCTGAGCCAAAGGCAGATGCATCCAACCACTTAGCCACCCAGGCATTCCATCAGTTTGTATTTTTATATATTCAATCATGGTTTTTTATTATTATTTATTTATTAGAGACAGAGAGAGAGAGAGAGAGAGAGAGAGAGAGAGAGACACACACACAAACAGGCAGAGGGAGAAGCAGGCTCCATGCAGGGAGCCTGGCGTTGGTCTTGATCCCAGATCTCCAGGATTGCGCCCTGGGCAGAAGGCGGCGCAAAACCGCTAAGCCACCGGGTCTGCCCTCAATCATGTTTATAAGGAGGAATTCCAAGTGTGTGTCTTCTCAGTAATTATGGCATGCAGATGCTCTTGTGATTTGCATTTAGTTTTGTGTATTTTCTGAAGGTATAAACTTTGTGTTAGTTGGTATCATTCAACTTGTATGATTTGCTTGTTTCAGATTCACAATGACATCCTTTCAAGAAGTCCCCTTGCAGACTTCCAACTTTGCCCATGTCATCTTTCAAAATGTGGCCAAGAGTTATCTTCCTAATGCACACCTGGAATGTCATTACACCTTAACTCCATATATCCATCCACATCCAAAAGATTGGGTTGGTATATTCAAGGTAAGAACAGTTTGTTGCATATTTCTTCCATGTAGGTATAGGTACTCTATTTTCTTTTTAAGTAGGTTGATAAGTAGCTTGTATTAGCCTTGTCTTCACTCTGCAATAAGGGTCTTTTTACATCTGTAAACTTAAATGCTTTATAAACATGAAATACCTAACAGTGCAGGGTAGTATATGATACTGGGAACTAAAGTTCACCAGTTTTGCCCGTCTGATCAAAAGGTCTGTGAAACATTTTTGGAACCTTTCTTTCCCTTCCATTTTTTCCATTCCTTATTTGAAAAGTCTTTTCCTTTGGGTTGCTTTATCACTTTATGACTTTATGATAGTCACTTTATGACTATCTCTTCAGTCATTTATAATTATTATTTTTTTTAAATGTTATTTATTCATGAGGCAGAAACACAGGCAGAGGGAGAAGCAGGCTCCATGCAGGGAACCTGACATGGGACTTGATCCTGGGTCTCCAGGATCAGGCCCAGGGCTGACGACAGTGCTAAACTGCTGAGCCACCCGGGCTGCCCCATTTTATTAGGAGTATTCTGTTTTTACATGACTAAATAGTAAACTCTCTGATGACAGGAATCCCAGTTCTTACCTTTTGCTAGTCATTTTGTATAGTAGTTGCTTGAGAATTACATTGAGGTGATCTTTATGGTGGTGCTTCTCTGTGCTAGAAATTTACTGGCAATTTCAACTCTTAAGAATGTAGTGGATAACTAAAACGTGAGTCCTTGGGGTGCCTGGCTGGCTCAGTTGGAAGAACATGTGACTCTCGATCTTGGGTTTGTGAGTTTGAGCCCCACGTTGGGTGTAGAGATTAGTTAAATAAAATTAAAAAGTGTCCTTTGAACAATCAAAATGTCATAAATGTCCAAATAATAAAACTTTTCTCCTCAGTTCCTCTAGATTCTCCCTCAGAATGAGTTTTAGATATGATTTTAAGGGTCTTGAAATTTTGATTGCATGGTGTGTATAAGTTCCAGCAAAGTAGAAAGAACAGCTGCCAGAATGAAACACAGGTATCTAGAAGTGAAAGTCAGCCTTTTAGAGTGAGGCGGGCCGAAAAACTATTGGACAAAGAAAGTTTTGGCATCTAATGACGTTTCATTTCTTTTTTGAATCCCTTCCTTGATTTTGATGATAGAGGAATCATTTACTATTTTTTTAATCTATTTATTGTTTGAGTCAAATTCCAAAATGGGGATACATTCATTGTAAGCATTTTTATGAAGTTAGTACTGGTTTGATTTTATGTGAAGTATGGGTTATCAAGTTAAAGAAGCTGAGTGAAAATTGGTGTTTTGTATAGGAATTGGTCAGACAAAAGTAGAGCAGGGAAATAAGATTGAGGGAAAGGAGGGGCATTTCTGGCAGGAAAATGGTATAAGCAGAGCCACAAAGTTGAGAATGTTATTGAGACAAGTTAGTTTGACTAGAAAATGACCTTCATTTAGGAAAGTGGAGGGAGGTAATGTTGGAATTAAGCTTCAGACTATCTGTGGAGACCTTTAGTTATAGGCTAAAATTAAAATGTAGGTTTCTATTTTGGGCAATGGATGTCTTTGCATATGTAGGTATGTAGGCTGATGTATGATGAATTGTATTTCAAGATGAATCTTTACCTTTTTCCTTTGAAGTTTTTTTTTTACCCTCAATTTTTAGTTAATGGCCTATTGCCTAAGCCAAAAGCTAATTACTTTCCTTTCAAATCTATTCAAACACCATTTCTTTACATTTTATTGCATATGTATTTTTGTATCTGTGATATCAGTGCTCTAGTTTTATGCCCTTTCCAAAATTATTGCACTTGTTTTCCCTGTTTTCAATCTTGCCCCCCTACCTTATCTGTTCTTCAAACTACTGTATATAAACTATATTCTAAAATGAAAATCTGAACATATCTTCTTTTTGTTTCAAACTCTTAGTTTTTCATTATCTGTAGAGTAACACCAAGACCAAATAACTTTACCAGTGTGCCATATAAGGCTTCCTTTTTTTTTTTTTTAAGATTTTATTTATTTGGGAGCTTGTGAGCATGAGCTGGGGGAGAGGCAGAGGGAGAAACAGAAACGGACTCCCCATGCTGAGTAGGGAGCCTAAAGTGGGGCTTGATCACAGGACCCTGGGATTATTATCTGAGCTGCAGACAGACGCTTAACTGAGCGTCTTCATTTTTTTGGTCATAGCCTGCTTATTATTATTTTTTCAAAGATTTTATTTATTCATGAGAGACCGAGAGAAAGAGAGAGACAGAGACAGAGACACAGGAAGAGGGAGAAGCAGGTTCCATGCAGGGAGCCCGACATGGGACTTGATCCCGGAAATTGCCTGCTTATTTTTTACTTTGGTAATGCCAAACTCTTAATCTCACGTGCACTTCAAGTGCTGTAACTTTTCTCTAAGAAATAATACTTACATAAATGAATACAGTGGTATGGAATGCGCTTGGATTATAGAATTGCCTGGATAATACTTTAAAACTTGATAGGAATTTCAGGTATGTGGTAAAAATTTCAGAATACATGGGGGAAGTCTCAAGAAAATAAATCATGTTTAATAGAGTGGAATTGCCATGCTTATTGCATTGCATGTTTTAAAACATTTAGGTGTACTGCAAATTGCCCTCTAGGATGATTTTGATGGATACAATATTTTAGGGAAGCAAGAGAAAGTGCAAGATGGTAGCTATAAGGGGGAAGGAATGAAGGGAAAGTGTGTGTGGTATGTTTGTGAAAATGTTAAAGGAATTTGACTTGTTTGGGACAGATCATCAGTTTTAGAAGATGAATGGAAAAGCTTGGTTTGGATCATATTATGGATTGTTTTAATATTTGGCTGAGGAATGAAGTACAGCAGAGAGTAATTTTAGAAGTGAGTCTTTATCTTGGAGGGTTGAGTAAGATAAATTGAAATTAGAAGAGAATGGAGACAGAAAATGTTTTAGACTATCCTAATTTTCTAGGTGAGATAACGCCTAAAGTAGAAAAGGGAGTCAGTTGTGGATTATAATCCATAAGTAGAATCATTGTGAATTTGTCACAGTTAGTTGAATGAATTTGGACTGGAACTCACTCATGGCTTTATTATATTCAGTAAGGAGAAATAAGATCATGTGTTAAGAGTTGAGGAGGGCTTGAGTATGCCGATTTGGTTTTGCTACTTTGGAAGAATGTCATAGGGAATTAAGAGATTTCTGAGAATTGGTTTTATTTTTTTATTTTTTTTTTATATATAAATTAATTTTTATTGGTGTTCAATTTACCAACATACAGAATAACACCCAGTGCTCATCCCGTCAAGTGTCCCCCTCAGTGCCCGTCACCCATTCACCCCCACCCCCCGCCCTCCTCCCCCTCCACCACCCCTAGTTCATTTCCCAGAGTTAGACGTCTTTATGTTTTGTCTCCCTTTCTGATATTTCTCACACATTTCTTCTCCCTTCCCTTATATTCCCTTTCACTATTATTCATATTCCCCAAATGAATGAGAACATACACTGTTTGTCCTTCTCCGGTTACTGTGGCCAAGTTCAAAAAGGGTGTTGCCTGAGTTCTCCTCTGGGATTTTGATGGAATCTTGTCTCACATTTAGATCTTTCATCTATTTTGAGTTTATCTTTGTGTATGGTGCAAGAGAGTGGTCCAGTTTCATTCTTCTGCATGTGGATGTCCAATTTTCCCAGCACCATTTATTGAAGAGACTGTCTTTCTTCCAGTGGATCGTCTTTCCTCCTTTATCGTATATTAGTTGACCATAAAGTTCAGGGTCCACTTCTGGGTTCTCTATTCTGTTCCATTGATCTATATGTCTGTTTTTGTGCCAGTACCACACTGTCTTGATGACCACAGCTTTGTAGTACAACCTGAAATCTGGCATTGTGATGCCCCCAGATATGGTTTTCTTTTTTAAAATTCCCCTGGCTGTTCGGGGTCTTTTCTGATTCCACACAAATCTTAAAATAACTTGTTCTAAGTCTCTGAAGAAAGTCCATGGTATTTTGATAGGGATTGCATTATACGTGTAAATTGCCCTGGGTAAAATTGACATTTTCACAATATTAATTCTGCCAATCCATGAGCGTGGAATATTTTTCCATCTCTTTGTGTCTTCCTCAATTTCTTTCAGAAGTGTTCTATAGTTTTTAGGATATATTTTGAGAACCATTTGAATGGTAAATGGTTCTCCAACCTTTTATTTTCAGGTTGTAGGTGTCTTTCTGTCTAAAATGAGTCTCTTGTAGACAGCAAATAGATGGGTCCTGTTTTTTTATCCAGTCTGAAACCCTGCGCCTTTTGATGGGGTCATTAAGGCCATTCACGTTCAGAGTTACTATTGACAGATATGAGTTTAGTGTCATCATGATATCTATTTAGTCCTTGTTTTTGTGGATTGTTCCACTGAACTTCTTAAAGGGGAGTTTTAAGAGTCCCCCTTAAAATTTCTTGCAGAGCTGGTTTGGAGGTCACATATTCTTTCAGTTCCTGCCTGTCTTGGAAGCTCTTTATCTCTCCTTCCATTTTGAATGAGAGCCTTGCTGGATAAAGTATTCTTGGTTGCATGTTCTTCTCATTTAGGACCCTGAATATATCCTGCCAGCCCTTTCTGGCCTGCCAGGTCTCTGTGGAGAGGTCTGCTGTTACCCTAATATTCCTCCCCATGAAAGTCAGGGACTTCTTGTCTCTTGCTGCTTTAAGGATCTTCTCTTTATCTTTGGAATTTGCAAGCTTCACTATTAGATGTCGAGGTGTTGAACGGTTTTTATTGATTTTAGGGGGGGATCTCTCTATTTCCTGGATCTGAATGCCTGTTTCCCTTCCCAGATTGGGAAAGTTTTCAGCTAGGATTTGTTCAAATACATATTCTGGCCCTCTGTCCCTTTCGGCGCCCTCGGGAACCCCAATTAAACGTAGGTTTTTCTTCCTTAGAGTGTCATTTATTTCCCTTAATCTGTCTTCATGGTTCTTTAATTGTTTATCTCTTTTTTCCTCAGTTTC